AAGGCAGTCTCACGTTAACTCGCTTCCGGATACTAACCCTGCACTTCCTCAGAATAATCCTATCTAGCTTCGTTCTCAGTTTGTGTTTAGTTTTCTTTTCTGGAAAAAGACCTGCTGTTCTATAGAGACTAACCAGTTTCCTCACCGTCAGGCATAGAAGCTGCGAGTCAGGTCTCGGTCTCCGAAGTAGCGTCTCCAAAAACCTCTTGTTGCGCTCAGTAGTAGTCTTAACTTTCACGATCCGCATCACCGTGATTGCACCTCCTGCCTGCAGTATGGTCTTCGCGTCCCGCAAGCACCAGATCTTCCCCCCGACCCGGAGCAGGGAGTCGCCAAACCTCCGCTTGATCTTCCTCCAGCTGCCCAACCAGATCGTCCCACCGTTCACGACGATCTCCAGATTGCTACACCCGCAGTGTTCAGACAGCCATTCGGGCCACGAGGTGAATGCCATCCCCTGGTACTTGATAGGACACACGCTTCCTACATTCGACCCTCCGGCTCTTCCCTTCCTCTCCCTCCTACCCCGTCTCCTCCTGGTCCTCCCCAGCTTCTCTCCCTTCCCTATATCCCGCGAATTCAAAGCTGGATTGAAATCGGTTATCAGAAACTTCTCGAACGCGTAATCGTCAACCGTGTTTGTATGTCTGAGTGGAATCATAACATATTTATCTAAGCCGAACTTACGCAGCCGCCGATAGAGGTGTGGCGACTATCCAAGGCAATCGCTTAGTGCATTGCGACTGTGCTCCCTCCACCTCTGGATAAGAGGCCTCACAGTGCAACCAGTGTACACTTTTTTCGTCCACGGACTCACTAGCGAGTACACGCCCCCCGTCTGCAAGCTCAGCATGTCTTTAAAATCATAGGATATTCCCAAAAATTTCTCTAGCCAGCGAATTTTCCCCCGAGCCGCAAGCAATAACGTGGTAGACGATATAGCGCATTCGATCTTCCTACTCACCCGTCTCTCCTAATCCTCTTAGTGCTGTCCTCTTCTGCAGCCAGTGAACCAGTCTGTCCCAGAGTTCGCCGTTCGTTGGTGACCGTCAGTCGGAGTCGTCAGCCGGTTGCACCGGCGCTGATCTAATGATCACCGGTACACCCCTTGGAGTAGGCAGCCCCCCAGTTTCACGCTCCTTTATGAAGCCCTCCCGGGGTAACCCCGATGCTTTCGTCTTCCCCCCGCCTCTTGACACTACTGGAGTTTCCTCGAATCCGCCGTACGCTAGCTGCACCTGCTGCCTCACCAGGATCTCCACAACCTCCGGCTTCGTCGTGTACTTCACCCCCTTCTGTTCACACGTCTGCCTTCTTAGCTGAGAAGATCTTGTGTGCAGAAATGCAATAGTCAATAAGGCCCTTTTGAGAGCCCTCAGCTGCAAGGCCCTTATAGCCGCTGGTCAGTGGTGTTCTTGGTTCGCCACGTACTTCGTCCCCAGTTGTCTGGTTCCTCCCCTCTTCGGCCGTACGGACTCTCCATGTATCAAGCGGATCAGCTCTCACCCGCTTGGAGCATTCCCCCTTCTCGAACATCCTGAATGGTGTGTCCTCCGCTGCCCTACCCCTTAGCCACGCCTTTCGTCTTCTGCTTACTAGATGAATGAGACTTCTTCTTCCTGTCTCTCGCGGTACGCTGGTCTCGATGATTGTCGGAGTCCGTTGACGACCCCGGATCCGTGGAGTCCTCATCCGTCGAGTCTTCGGTAGCTGTCTCAATACTGGACTTGCTCATCTTCTTCTTCTTAGTGTATCCCCGTCCGCGACCCCCTCCGTTCTTCCTAGTAACACCTCTCTTCTTCTTCCTCGCTGCTTTCTTCGACGATCCACTCGCCCGCTCCGCCTCCTGGTTGTTTTTCCTCCACTCCTCGAGCAGTTCAGCCCGAAATTGCAACTTGAACTCCTCAGTCTTTCGGGCGAAGTCCAGATTCCTCCGAACTTCCTCCTCCTCCTTGGCTCGTTTTTCCTCCTCCAGTCTCCGTTTCTCTTCTAGTCCTAACCTCTCCTTACGCATTAGACGGAAGTGCTCCTTGATCTCTTCTAATTCGGGATCACCTGGTGTATTCACCTCCCCCTGACCCTTCCGCGCCCAACAATCCCGGGCGAAGTGCCCGGGCTTTCCACAGTTGTAGCAGCCGCTACCGTTTCCTCCAGTCCCTCCGTTACCGCCGGCCCCTTGTCCCTGCCAGCTGCCACCACCATGGCCCGCGTTCCCGTTACTCCCCGACACCTGTCCATTACCCATTCCAACTGCGTTGCCCCTTGTGGGGCCATTTGTGAGAAACATCCTATCTCCTCAGTTTCCTATCCCGCTAACGATCGAACTGCGTCTACAGGCGCCCGACCCAGTTGGATCACCCACCAATGTTCCCGATCGTGGAAAGTCTGCCTCTTACCATGCTCAGTTTACTCCCGCCAGATGTCAACAATCTCGCGATAACGGATCCGACGCCTCGTCCGCAATGTCAGTAGAGTTGTCTCTATCTTAATGAGTAGGCTCATAAGCAGATCGTACAGCCCGGCGCGCAGCGTCTCGTTCGTAACGAATCCTATCATCAGGTGCATCGGTTGGATAGTGTTCCTGACATAGTCTTCAAGTGCTTCAATAAGCCTAGTTCTCACGGTGGCGCGGCTTCTCATATGTCTGTTGATACCTCCACATCTAACACACGGGATCGGCATCTCGCTAGAATGCCGATCCAAGTAAGATAACGCCCAAGCCTACCCGCATAAAGCCCACCCCGTATAGTATATATGCTAGTCCCGTGCCTCCCTTCCTCGTCATATCCAATCTCCGATGTAGCTGCCCACCCGCTCCCCTATCGCACGGTTAGCTGAATGAGCTGTCCTCGGCCAAGAGAAAAAAACCCTTCTCCGCACCTAGTTACACACGGCTACTTAGCTCGAACGCGCCAAGGTAACAGCTGCGCCTATCTTCGTCCTTCGAGTCGAAAAAACCGTAGTCGCCGAAGTCTCGCACAGGTCTCGCACAAGTCGACATAGCCACCGCGCAGCGTGGAACAACTGACGGTTACTGTGCGCCAGAGAGTGGCGAACTGCAGCACACAGTCCGAGCAGCAAGCCATGTCAGATCCTCATACACGAACACACATAAGTCTGCTTGCATGAAAGAAAACGACATACAATACTGCAAAAATGAGCCTCAAGAGGATCCCCCGACCGGTTTCGCCTGCCCACACAGGCTTCATCAGGAGGGTGACTCGGTAGAGTCTTCGAGCTCAAAAGGGAGGCTATAGCCTTGCCTCCCAGGTTATGTAGTGTCGTGCTTCCTAGTGTCATCCGTGCACCTTCCTACCAGAGCGTCTCGCCCCGAAAACCAGAGCTGTCGAAACGACAGCAGCCAAATCAAGAAGTAAGAAAACAAGAAAACCAAAATGCAACAAAAAATAGTCGGCCGAACTCCCGGCGCCCAAGACTACCCGCTACTGTGAACCCAGAATCCGCACTTTTTTCCCCCCGTACCGTACTCAGAGCCGTAATCCGTCCCGAAACATGGTAACTCGTTCGCGTGGCGCGTGGCAAGGACTGCGCCGTCCAAGACGTGGCAGTACCTGGACGAACCGCCCTCGGGAACCCCCCGCGGGCGCGCCCTTTCCGGGATGCCATTGGGGCCAAAATCTACCCACCGCCAGATCGTACAGTCGAATCTACCAGAAACGACAAAATGTATAAAATGTAGAAAAATGTAGAAAAATGTAGAAAAACCAAAACCAACACAGGTAAGA